ATGAATTTTCTGGATAGTGTGTCTGGCTGTCATATAAATACGATACTAGTGATTACGTGGCGGCATGTTAAAGGCGGTATGAAATTGGTAATATCTGCTCTTCGAAAAAGGCATTAATCACGGTTAAGTGCATTTTATTTTATTCTTGTTTTTATTTTGTAGAATGTAATGTTCATTGCTTTTTTTTTAGTATGAATTTCTGTCGTTATTGTTGTTTTTTTAAATTGTTTGAAACTTATATTACTTAGTTATTTTGTTGATTAGTGCGTACCATCTGAATTCTGCAATTCGTAGATGTTTTTTAAAGTTGAAACAGAAAACGCTGTGTACATGGTATTCTTTGAAATTTATTGTTGTTATGTTAATTTATTAAAGTGAGGTGCGCGTAGTTCGTAAATTCGTTTGTTGCCTAAATTGTGCAATTCGTAGATGTTTTTTTAAGTTGAAACAGGATGCTGTGTACATGGTATTCTTTGAAATTTATTGTTATGTTAATTTATTAAAGCGAGGTGTGCGTAGTTCTTAAATTCGTTCGTTGCCTAGATTGTGCCATTCGTAGATTTTTTTTTAATTAAAACATATCGCTGTGTACATGGACTCTTGTAAAATAATTTTGGTTAGAAACTTCACGGTTTTGCTATCTAATTTTTTTGTTTTTGTTTCGGAATTTTAGCTTAAATTGTGCGTTCAAAACGTGGTTTTTGCATTTGCGAAAACCGTGTTTTTGGAGACATTTTAGGCTTAAAGTTGGAAATGTAGACAAAAAATTTAGATAGCAATATGGCAGCGTGGAGTTTCTCGCCAAATACTTTTGGCGAGAAATTTGGCGCCTTGAGGGCGCATATCAGAGTAGTTCCAAAAAAACTTCTCGGTAAAGGGCAGAATCGTCCACTTATTTGTTTGCCGCTTCTTACAAGGGTAAAAACAATTGGATTTTTGTCAATTTTTTTTACTTTTTAAGTGAAAATAGGTCAATAGATAAGATAATCAAGATAAAGTCAAGATCATAGATAAAGCCAAGGGTGTGCGCAGTTAGATTTTTGTGCAATTCTGGGATTTTTTTTTTTTTTAAGTGAAAGTAGGTTGATGTGTATATGGATACCGAGTATGTGTAATTCTTAAATACGCGTCAAGCAGTGGGTGATTCTGCCGTTTACCCAAAATTCTATTGCAGACTTTTCGTCAAGAGCAATTTCCAAGTTGTTAAATCCATAGGCTATCAGAAAAGGATTTAAAAAATTGGTACTATTCGGTTTCGAAGGCCGCAAAAAATCGCCAAAACTATTGTTGATGCCAATGCTGCCAAAAATAATTTCGGCAACCCTAATAACTGCGGCAAGAAAGGAATGTTTTAATTTAGATGAAAGGTTAATTTCATATAATACTTTTTTATTATTATAATTTATATGAAAAAGGCTAAACATGACTGAATGGAAGCATAACAGTAAATAACTATTTCAGATCATTATTATAATTTATATAAAAATTGCTAAACATAACTGAATGGATGCCTGCATCGCTATTTCGCTACCAACTTATCGCTAAAGCATAATTTCATCTCGTTGGTTGTTCTAACGTAATTTTCTATAATGAATGATGCCTTTTCTTTGAAAATATTCTCGGTAAAGTGCAGAATCACTCACTTATTTGTTTGCCGCTTTTTACAAATGTAAAAACAATTGGATTTTTGTCAATTTTCTTTTCCTTTTTAAGTGAAAATAGGTCGATGTGTACATAGATAAAGTCAAGGGTGTGCGCAGTGCCATTTTTGTGCAATTCTAGGATTTTTTTTTAAGTGAAACTATGTCGATGTGCACATGGATCCCGAGTATGTGCAATTCTTAAAAATGCGTCAAGCAGTGGGTGATTCAGCACTTTACCCAAAGATTTGGCGCGCTGTTAAATGGACGGGTTTGCTAGATTTGGCACTTTTGCGCGTACATTTTCGCTGCAATTTTTTTACGGCCCTCGAAACCGAATAGTACCAAAAAATTAACTAGTATTTCAATGGCGTCTTAAGAAATATAGAGCTATATAAACTTGCGCAATCTGAAATCAGTGCATATGCTAGATTTGGCACGCTGTTAAATGGGCACGTTTGCTATATTTGGTGCTTTTGCGCATACATTTTCGCTGCAATTTTTTATGGTCCTCAAAACGGAATAGTACCCTAAAATCATAATACCAGAGCCCTGTGGAAGACTTGTGAAGAAATATAAAGTAATTAACAAATATTTAAATAGAGATAAAAATTAATACATTATGATAGACTAAAGACAAATAGTTAAATAATAAACAAAAATACCAGAACACACCTTGCCTAAAACTTTGGCTTGATTTAATGATTTTACTCAAAAACTGAGCAGTACTAGAGCTGGCTTAGGCTGAATTTAAGGCCTCAGTATAACTTTACATACACAGCATTTAGTTTAAAACATGTCTCTCTTTTATTAGACATTATTTCGGGAAAAGTGCAGAATCAAACACTGGTTGGCACATTTTTAATAATTGTACGAACTCGTTATCCATGTACACACCAACCAATTTTCACTCAGAGAATTGCACAAAGTCGGCAATGTACACTTCCTTGACTTTGTCCATGTACACATTGATCTATTTGCACTTAAAAAGGTCAAAGGAAATTGACAAAAATCTATTTCTTCTTACTTTTGTAAAAAGCACCAAACAAAATGTGCCAAATAAATGGGCGATGCACTTCACCCCATTATTTCTATTTTAGAACTATTAATGTCAAAATTAGATATGCCAAAACTGAAGAAAAAAACCAAAATGCAATGAACAGGAAATCTGACTAACACAGAAACAAGAATATCAACTTTGAACTCTATGTTTCATTATTGGGTTAGAGAGAAGGGTACCCCTTGTATTATCGTGAAGGTGTAATTTCATAAGGTTAACTTGAAGTTTCTGTACGATTTGGAAAGAAAGGGGAAAAGAACATTACTTGACTGGTGTGTAAATGAAGGTTTACTTAGTAGCCATTATTAAGTGTCCTGTTTGTAGGAAGGAAATGCATATAGTCGGACGATACGGAAGATATTTTTTACTTTTATTTTGTGAATTTATGAGGTGATGCCAGTATACAGATTCTAGTTCAGATAATTTTCAGAAGTTTTTGGATGCTGTTAAGGAATATTGTTTGACTGAAAATGTGTTAATTTGTAAATAATGTACGTGGATATTTCCTTTCTGTATTGCACAGATGAATTTCCTTTTTTATGCTATTTCATTGTTTGATTTAAAATGTAGTTTATTGAGTTTTTTTTTTTTTTTTTTTGTTGTTGTTGGCTGCTTCATTGACATTTTAAGTGAATATAGTTCGAAGTGTACATGGGCAATGTCAAGAGAGTGTGCAATGCCTAGTTTGGGCAATTCTCTGATGTTTTTAAGTGAAAATAGGTCGATGTGTACATGGATAAAAGGAGTGCACAATTTCAAGTTTGTGCAATTCAGGGATTTTTTTTCTTAAGCGAAAATAGGTTCGGCACCAAAATAACAAGTCAAAGAATTGCACAAACTCGGTATCCATGTACCACCAAAAATCACCAATTTTCATCAAGGGGTACCCATAAACATACTTTTATCCATTGTTTTAATACGATACTGTATATATAAGAAAATATATTCTAAATAGTTTACTGCAATTAAACTAATGAGGAAGAATCAGTCTTAATAACATGAGTATCTGGGGCTAGGTAATGTACAGCTACCATAATATAAAGATTTTATTTTGCTTATTTTCAAAGGATATGAATATGTTATTGTACAACTTATGAAATGTAATAGAAGACGTGGCATTTCGTTTCATTATGTAAAACTTTAAAACAGGTAAACGTGCAGTATGATCCTTTAATTTCTGAATATTTTCCAAAAATCATTTCTTCTTTAGATATATATACATACTGAATTCTATTTTATATCCTTTTTATACGATTACATATTTATTATATACAACAAACATAAAATTTCTACGTAGTTGTGAATCAATCAATTTCAATTGTTTTAAATGTATGTTAAAATATATATAAAACTTAAAACTAAATAGTCAGTTATTCTGAATTAACACTGCTGAAATATTAATGAAGTTTTCAGAAAATTATAAATGAATAATTTCTAAAAAAATACTGCAGCAGTATATAAAGTAAAGCAAGATTGTCACACAATCAAATATAAAAAATTCATCAAAATCAATCACATTGATTTTTGTCATTTTTTTTAAGACTAGTTGTTTAAAACAACAAGCGTACGAGACACTGAAATCAATGTCAAGTTTTAGCACTTAAATAGGTAACAAATGAAATTAAAAAGGACTATAAATAAACATTTGACATACATTTCTGCTTTTGTAGTTCAGTAATATACTTTAATACATAAATTTTCTATATGATTCAACATTAAAACAAAAGCGCCTTCATAAGTTTAACAATTCTACTAAATTACTTCCGGAAGTCAGAAATCCCACACAGCAAGTCACTTAACTTCTAATTATTTCATTCATTGAATATATCTTAATCACGGCTTTCACTGAACAATAACATTTAACATATCAAATCGCTTAATGAATAAGAAAAATAAATCTTAATACGTATCCAAAAGGTATTTTTGCAGTACACGCGAACAGAAAACTGCAAATTAAATGATGTTTCCCATAGCATTAGGCTTATTACTCTACCTCTAGCTCTACTTTCTTAAAATTGGGGATTTTAAAGTTAAAGGAAAATTAGATTTTCAAGAGTAGAAGAAAATAAAATCATACACAAAGGAAAATACATCGTAACTATACTATAATATTAATTTATGATATTTTGTTTTATCAGAGCAAACATTCAATAAACAGTTCTTAGTATTCATATCATATTTTTCTGGTTATTAAACAAGAAAATGCCTGTTTTAGCGTTAAGCCAAGGTATTTAAAAACTAGACACAGCAATAAGTAAACAAAATTACAACATCAAAATAAACCCCGAAAGGGCACTTACCCACACCAGAAGTGACGCTAGGTCGTCGAATGGAAGTATTTACGGCCAGTTCAATTCTGATCAATAAAGCATTACTATTAAATTATCTTTAAATTACTTTAAATACATGGCACAAGAATTTATAAAACGAATCCATTAAACAATAACACCTGTCACATTTTTTTCCACAATTAAAAAAATAAAAAGCGGTATTTAAAGCTGTCTCTCCCTTTCCCCCTTACAGAAAGATTATTTCAACCAGTGCCTCTTCTTCTCATGGGACTGAAACATAATCCCGGAAGTGAAAGCGGTATGTATTTCTTCCGGCTAAAGCTATGCCAAAGTAAAACGAAGAATTGTAAATATATAGTATGCATTAAAAAAAATAAATATTTTGAATTCAACTTAGTTTGAATTTGTTTCGCTTGAAGAAGACTGTCAGCACTTCAATTCCACAATTTTCGCATAGAAAGCATCTAAAAATATAAGATGTATAACGTCTACAAATACACACCTTAGATATTCACATATACGTAAAAAAACTCAATAATTAAATCGATCATTATATAATAATTTATGGCTATGACCAATTTTACTGCCTAAAGGTATCATTTAATTAAAACATTTAGACATCGTCGGTTCAGCCAAACTCGATAAAGTTCGCTGTTACGGGTACCCGCGTGTAGACGCTATCCCGGCATATTGATTCCTGATTTTCGATTCTTTGAATGTTCTAACAGCTTATGAAACACAGCGAAGAAAATGAAAGTTCAGAACAGTTTTCACAGTATGGGTGAGCACATAGATATGAGTCCAACAGAAACACACCTGCGGTGCAGGCTTTGAGGCGAAGGTAAGTGCGCAAGATAAGCAACTGACATGTCGTGGATAAAAAGAAATGCCTTAGCTCGCAGAATTTGAGAGTTTCTCAGGTGTTGCATTAGCAGATTAGAAGTAGATAACATAAAATGCCAGTAAACATAAATGCATAGAAATATATATATATATATATATATATACATTATATACAGGTAAGGTTCTCTAAATATAAATCGCAGGTAAGGTTAGCTACATATTTACAACCATCAGCAGCTAACCAGAAAATCAAAAAAGTGAGAGAATGTGCATAGATATAATTAAGGTGTCAAAACTGAATATTTGAATTTTAAAAATAACAGTTAATTATCAAGATGTCTGAGGACCGCAAGCGGCCGTTTTCGATTACTGTCAGAATTATAGTCATAATTTAGCACTGGTATTGTTAACATTTGGCATATTTTTGAAAAATTTATCTGCGAGATTAGCAAAGTAAACATATAAAGTTCGCACTTTAAGCTCTTGGTGAATTGCCGAGTTTCTGACGAACCATCGACAATTCGCCGCTTGTCTGAGTAAGACATTCTGAAGTATTTGAAGTATCTTTACATTTGTAAGACTAGCATTATTTATTTCCTAACATAAACATAAAGTATAGAAAAAGCAAAAAACATTTATAAATACAAAAACGTAAGTGATGCCATTCACAAAAAGGGTAATGTTATTTTTAATAGTTCGCTGGCTTTGCCGCAACATCCTCACCCTGGTCAATCTCCAGGGGGATAACCAGCTGCACAGGTCGGGTAATGGTATGTCCATTGGTGCGCAGAACACAAGTACGGACTTTTTTGTCGCGGCCCAAGGATTAGCTTCCTCAACACGGGCCTTTTTCCAGGTGTTGCGAGGTCTAACATCTTCGTGTAGTAGGGCAATGTTCCCTTTCCGTATTTTATTTGTTTCAGATGGATTCCGCACTTGATGAAATGTACGCAAAGTCCATCAAATATTCCTTTTGCCATCTTTTCCAAAAGGCAGTCCATCAAATGTTGACGATTCTTCCACATACGATTTTAATTTTTGTTTCAGGATTTGTGGAGGCTGGAAGGAATAGTAGTTAATTTCTTTTCTTTTCTATGAGGAAGTGCAAGGGTTTTAAAGCTTCCTCAGAGTCATATCTTTTATTCCATATTCATGGACAATCGGTCTACTGTTAAGAGCGGCTTCAATATCACATAATACAGTGATCAAACCAGCGTCATCCAAAAGAGCCTTACCTAATGTTTTCCGAAGGCGTCGCTTAATTGAGCCTATCATTCTTTTCCACCATCCTCCCCACCAAGCCGCTCGGGGGGCGATGAATTTCCATTTGATGTTGTGGTGGGCATAAAACTGTTGTGCCTTGGCAGAGGATATAGTATCCCACAATAATTTCAGCTCTTTGTCCGCAGCGAAGAACGTTGTGGCATTATCAGTGTACACTGTATGAGGAAGTGAACGTCTAGAGACAAAACGTTGTAATGCAAGTAGGAAGATGTCAGTATGCAGATCGGAAACTAATTCTAAGTGGATAGCTCAAGTTGTAGCACATGTGAAGATGACAATGTAAGCTTTTGTAACGGAGTTATTTTTTACGTAGAGTGGTCTAGCAAAATCAATTCCGGTAGTTTCGAAAGGAGATGACTTTTGAATTCGCTCAGCTGGTAATGGAGCTTCTATCTGTTCACTTCTCTTTTGTTTCAGTACTTTATATGGAAGGCAAGTCTTTATCACCTTTTTAATGGCTTGTCTTGCTCTTAATATCCAATATTCTGAACGAAGCTGAGAAAATACAATCCGAACACCGAGATGATGCATTCGTAAATGTGTTTGGCGTATCAGTAGGCTTGTAAAATGATGAGAACCTTATGGGATGTTTTTCAGCATGAGATAAATCAGGAAATTGTAGTCGACCACCAAGAAGTATAATATTGCTCTTTGAAGAAAGGGTTAAATTGTTTCATCCTTGATTTCTTAGGGAGTGATTTTCCTGTCAACAAAGCTTCATATTCTGAAGGAAACGATTCTTTCTGAACGGTCTGTATCCAATAAATACGATGTGATAAGGTCGCAGAAATCTACGACGAATGATTTCAAATTCAGAGTGCAATATACGTGATGAAATCACGGGATTAAATATAATTATTTAATTTTTATTAAAATAATATTAAGTTGTAAAAAAATAGTTGTTATTAAAATAATATTAAATTGCTGGAAATGTTATAAACGCAGGCTCGAGAGCCACGTATGGCTCTCGCACGACTGATGTATAGAATTTGATTTTCTAAAAAAGATAAGTTTTTTCTGTTCAGAATTGTATGTAGCCATTTTTTAGCATTGAATAATTTTTTTATGCTGTGTTTTGTTTTCAACCTGATGTCACAACCCAGGGTTGCATAGCGGTTTCGGCCACTACACCACAACAAGCTTGATTCAGTTCTGTGGCATGTAATTCACCCACTAACTTTTCTTGTTTCCTACAGTTGTGAATAAAGCGAAGAATCCAAGATGTTACACGTAACAATCGAACGTAAGAACTGTAGTTTCCAGCCTTTATGATTGGTTGAGTAGATACGATTTTGAAGTGTCTGAACTTTTTCTTTCTTTGCCTCGAAGTTAGGACTATAATCTTTAGAAATAGTACGGAATGAGGCCAATATTCTAGAGATTTGACTAACCATGGAGGGCCGTTCCACCAGATTTCCAGGTTTTTTAGTGTTGATGGTGAAACACCTCGAGAAAGTTTGTCAGCTGGATTGTTTTTGCCAGGGCAATGTCTCCATTGTGAAGGATTGGTATAGGAAATAATTTCTGTTACTCTGTTGCTAACAAAAGTTTTCCATTTGTTGGGGTCACTGCGTATCCACCCTAAGACAACTTGGGAATCACTCCACAATGTTGCATTTGACGAACAGATGTTGTTTCAGCACAGAAAAATTGCAACAATCGTGCTCCCATCAGGGCCGCCAATAGCTCCAAACGAGGTAAGGTAACTTTCTTTATAGGAGCTAGTTTGTTGCGACTACACACTAAATTCACATTCGATTGGTCACCTTTAAAGGTAACAATGTACAGAACTGAACCATAGGCACGTTCAGATGCGTCACAAAACACATGAACAGCAAAAGGAACATGTGATGAAATGCCTATGCATCGAGGAATTTGAAGGGAGCAAATGTCATCAAGTTCTTTCACAGCTGCATACCATAAAGTTGATAAATTAGCAGGTAGTAATTCATCCCACTTGATTCCAAGAATCCATGTATCTTGGAATAAGATTTTCCCAAGGATAGTAAACGGTGAAAAAAGGCCTAAGGGATCATAAAAACTAGCAATGCAGCGGAGTAACCATCCTCTTTGTAAAGTGGTTTGTCTGTAGAAACACAGAGGGAAGTCTTGAATGCATGCTTCAAAGTATCAGAAGTTGTATTCCAGCCAATACCTAAGACAGTTGTTTCCGTTTTGTGAGATTCTTCATGTGTTTGTAGTACATCTTTGAGTTTCAAAGAGTTTGTAGGCCCATTTTTCCATAGGCAATTTCATTAGAGCCATTAAATTCTTGATCTTCGTGATATAGCATTATAATCCGTGATTCAGTTTCCATACTAGCAAGAAACTCATCCATATAGAGATAGAGATGTTTATATCTATCATTGGTGCAGCAATTGGAAATTCTGCGATATGTTTTGCAGCCAATTCTTGTGTCGCAGCACAGAGTAAAAACGGACTGCAAGTAAGGCCAAATGGTAAAGCGAGTAAATCTGTAAACAGTTATTTCATCTGTAAGAGTAGTAGGTTGAGATGAATCAGATTTTAATTTGTACCAGAAAAATTTTGTGACATCTCTGTCTTCTTTATGTAGTTGTCGCCAACGACGCACGCTCCGCTCTTGGGGAACGGAATGATTTAGATATTGTTCCTCTTTTGTGTCAAATGTCAAATAAAGTGATTCATACAAAATAGTGCCAAGTTTAGATGAGTTTGAAACCAAATCGGAGTCTACAAAAGCGGCGGACCAGAATCGAAGAACGCGGATCATATAGGTAAGCAACCTTTCTTCATTTGCTTAGAATTTTGAATGATCTGTTTTTTACTGAATTGAAATGATAAAAATTTTTGGCGCCTGAACAGGGACCACCGATGTAGACTATATTGAAGTGAAAGATTTAGGAATGTTTGAAAAATAGCTCCTTTTGATTTGAGAAGTTTATTTATGAGTTGAGAGTACTGATTTTTAATTTGAAATATTTTCTATCTGAAATATTTAAACATGTTTACTAAAATAGAAGAATTAAAGAAAAGGCGAACTGTAGTTAGCAGTATGACAACAAAGTTCATAAATAATTGTAAAGAATACCTCCAAGAAACAGAACACGATTTGTGTATTCTTTTTAAT